GAGGATTCTCTCTCTTTCCAACGGGAAGGATGAGCAAGACCGATCGTTTGGCAGTTGGTAGGGAGCCAATATGTCCAGTAATTCATCTTTTCTTATTTTCTCGAAGAACTCTAAAAAAAGCTACTATCGAACGCTTCCTCTCATCAACTAGGCGATGAACCTTGACCGTTGGCTGTCCAGTAAAAGAAATACTCAAAAATATTATTATTCTTGAATCCATCTTAGAAATACCATTGTGGAGATATCCGATCAAGTTAGCTCTAAAATCAAGGGAATACATACATCGTACTTGCAATGGATAAACGATATTTGACCTTCGAAGATTGATTGAAGTAGCTTGACCTATGATACATAACATGTTTGAGGTATTTCTCAAATCTACTGATAGTTTGGTTTTTCATGCTACCTGACAACAAACCCTTCGAAAGTAATCCATTTTCGTGTGCTAGGACAGTAAATGTATTCACTATTTACATTTCTCAGGAGGTTTCTTACAAGTAGAACTAGGGGGCAACTTATTCTCGAGAAATGGATATCGTCAATTAATGAGGTGTGCTGAACGCGACAGCTCAGCCAATCAACATGCCCATCTCAACATCGAATGTTCATGGCGTAAGTATATCTGTTTATGATTACAAGTTCTATGTCCTGGTCAAGCTTTATGTAGCTTGTGTCAAAGCCTTAAGTCCATTACGCTGTGCTACATCTGGGTGAGTTCACGAAAGTCACGTCTCGAACATTACTAAACCATTTGCAGAATCGTGCATTTGCGAAAGCAGATGTTCATCAAGTAATGCTAAAGAATTATCCATTGCAAGTTCAAACTGTATGTGACAATGAATGGCAGCAAAAAGAACGAATTAGTTTGTTCTCCCAACTCATCTGCACAGCACCAGACGGGAATCTCGAAGGGATCAACTCCAATGCGTACCTTCTTAAGAGCTCAGGCTACGAGAATGACTGCTATACAACTTAGATTAAAGCAAAAAGTGAGAAACTGTCATATTTTTACGATAAATTTCCAAAAAAGGGACGGATTTGCTGTCCCGTATGCTCCCGCATGCTGCAATATAACCGCCGCTTCCTTACGGACCATCGAAATTACAAACTTAAGCCAGCAACCATTGTGAACTTCCGGAATTTAGTTCATTTCCAAAGTGGGTGAGTACAGAAAAAGAAAGGAGAAGTGGAAAGGATATTGAAATGCTTGTTGACGTAACACTAAAGTGGTGATGCTGACTCATCACAGCTAAATCAGAGCAAATTTAGTGGAGCAAAATAAACTGATCCATCCAGTGGAACGCGGTAAACAACGAACCATGCAAATATAACAAAACGAACGTCCATGAGTCATCCTTCCCATCACCACCACCATTGCTTATGGGACCAGAAATATGAATGATATGATGTGCAGGATGAAGATCGAAAATCCTGATGTAGAATGAGGAAGAAGTTACTTCAGGTGAACTGAGGTCGAGGAATAATAATACAGGCAGTAAACGAATATTTGAATTAGAAATAAGACAATGGTATAGGACCAATGAAAGCGAATGAAGGAGGATTAAAATTTCCTCAGTGGAAAGAAGCACGAAGGGAAGAATGGGAACAGCGGTATTTAATACTGGAGTAAGAAGATAGTCCTGGACTGAACTCACCTGATCTGCCCCAGAAAATGACACCCACTCCTCTTCTTATATGGGGAGTAACAGGGAATCGAGTGGGCAGGGGAAAACGAGGAGGAGGAAGTGTTCGTCCCCTTCATATTTCTTTCCAGGTCACTCCGCCAACATCTAATTGACAACCTTTCGTCTTCGCTGCTTCATCAGATGTTTTCTCCATTACTGGACATGTCATCGTCAATGATATGATATCTCCCAGACAACTCCTTCCATCAAAGGGATATTTCCTTCCAACAAATAGAGAGAGAGAGAGAGAGAGAGAGAGAGAGAGAGAGAGAGAGAGAGAGAGAGAGAGAGAGAG